TATGGGTAAAACCAGGACAGTCAGAAGGTCTTTGAAACTAGGAGCAAATAACGTAAGGCTACAAAAATCATCAGGGGTGTGTGGATAAGATGGAGAGCGTTGTCCTTCCCTTCCCCTTTCACCCTGCGAAGACGATGGGCTATTATTCTTGAGGCCATTTGTTCACCATCTTCATTTAATGGCCCCGTCATCCCTTGCAGGGTGGAATCTAGGCAACTGATTGGAGACGAGTGTTTACTGGCCGGATGCCCTTCCTGTTGCCAGTGTGGAGGGTTTTTTTTTTTTTTTTCAGCCGATATATTCCCATCGTGCACACTGAGAGAAAGATCTGCCTCCTGATTGTGAGGCCGAAAAACAGGCCATTTGTTACTGAAGGCCAATTGTTCTCTGCGGATCCTCACGCTCACACCAGGTGTGTGTGAGTTGCGGGGACGCCAGAGGCAGCTAACACAAAGCAGGGGTGAATTAAGAGCGTTGCTGAGTTCCCTTAAGCTGACGAGTTTAATAGACAACCCTTCCTATTAGTGTGGGGCAAGAGAGAAAGTGATTAGCTTTTGAATTTCCACCCTCCCAGAATTTGCTTGTATTTCCTGTTCTCTCTGAAGTAGTCCAGCTTCAACCACCCTTTGAAAAGCAACAAGATTAAATTGGCACAGCTTTAGAAGCATTAATACCGGCTTCCTTGCCCTGTTTGCGGTTTGGCAATATTCACAATTGGAAATTCATTTTTTTTTTTTTTATTTTAACACCGACGTAAGGAATCTGGGGGTTTGGGTTGGCAGGGCTGCCCCTAGTGGTTGTACTGGGGAAGTGCAGCGTTCGAGCTAAGTGTTTGGTCCCCGTTTCGGAAGACAGCTGGACTTCCTTAGTTTTTCCCTGAAGACGATACTCTTCTTACCCAAGAAGCTTCTTCAGTTCTGAACTGAATGGTGGAGAGATGTTGGTTTCTCCGAAGAACAGCCGAAGGAATTGGGTACGGCCAGCCAACAAGAGGCTTGTATAATGAAGGATGTGGTTTTCCCAGTGGCGATGTAGGGCTGTGAAAGTTGGACCATAAGGAAGGCTGAGCGGGTAAATTACCCAACTTGGCACTTGGTCGGATTGCCTTCCAGGGAGTATTTCTCTCTCTCTCTTTCCCCCTCTCCCCGCCAGGATTCCTAGGTGTGGCAGTAAGCTACTCTGTGTTGTCTAGCTTGTTTTTCTTCTCCTGGTGCTCCTTTCTCACTCTCCCCTTCATCTCCTCGGTATGCACACATTCCTACAAGCATTGGTTGGACCGAGCAGCCACGAGAGGGAGGGAGGGAGGGAGGACACAGAGTGCCTGCAGGAGGCCTGCCAAGCCAACTGTTGAGGCATGAGGGAAGCGTGCGGCTCTCAGCAACGCCTGATGTGGCCGTGATTCAACGTATCTTCTTGACAGGGGAAAGGCTAAACTCGGCCCTCAGCTCGGGTGGCACCTATCTTAAGCGTCCTTAGGAGAGGACCTGGCTTTGAAGCACAGAGACGGATGCCGAGTTGAAAAGGAACAGGACAAACCACCAGGCTTCCTTTCGGTCGCCTGAAAACAAGAGCTTCTCCTTCAGCTAGCCCTCCACGATCCACTGAGTGGCCGTTCGAAGTTACAACGGCCACGAAGAACGAGCATCGATGGTGGTTCGCTTAAGAACGGTGGCAAGGAAAGTCATAAAATGGGGAGTAAAATCCACAAGAAATGTCTTGCTCAGCAGCAGAGAGGGTGGATAACATAAACGGGGGGATTTTTCGAGAAAGTGGACGTGTCCGCGAATACCACACTGGCCACCGCTGGGTGCGCATTTTATATTTTCATCTAGCATTGGAAATCTTACCTACCAGCCCTTTAGTGGGAGAATGTTCCTACACATATGCTTGGGCACATCGCCTTGTCACGCCATTCAAACCCATGGCCTTCCGAAAAGCGGCTGGTCGTTCATGGCAAAGCAACAAAAGCAGCGGAGAAACCAGATCATTAACACAGATTAACAGAGTTGGAAGGGACTTGTAGGTCATCTAGTCCAACCCCCACCCCCACCGCCCAAGAACGAGACCCTACGCGATTTCTGGTGTCCTTTCTTTGCAGTTGGTGCAAGGCAGGTGAGCCAAGGACAAGAGTCAAAATGTTCAAAGCAGAGAAGGGTTGATTCGAACGGCTTCCGGATCCTACAAGATGCCTTCAAAAGAAAGAAAGAAAGAAAGAAAGAAAGAAAGAAAGAAAGAAAGAAAGAAAGAAA